GGACGAGACGGCAGAGCACTTGATACTCTACTGTAAAGGGCTTCATCCTATGCCTACCGAAGACAACATAGATTTAATAAAGTCATTGGATTTTAGAGACAGCGAGGGAAGAGTGAATTTCAAGACAGCAGAGATTACCAAGCAAAGATTAAGTGAATGGTGCCAGAAAACGAGAGAAAACTAGGTATTTTGTTATTAACTGATGGCAAGGGGGTTTTATAGCCTCACTTTCGTTTCAGTGCGGAGTGAATATAGTTTTCACATTTAAATATTCTAAGCTTAAATGGTAAAACAAGATGGCTAGGTGGCGTAAGCTACCGCTTGATTCAAAGGGCTCAGCCGGATTCATCCATCCACCCATCCATCCAAACATGATGTACCGCAGGAAAGGCTACAAGCGCGAGCTCCTTGCTTAGGGCACGTCTCGGCGGCACAAGCAATCGTGCACTAAGGGCTGCTGCCAGCGCTACGAGCTCGCGCTTCTAGCCTTCGCTGCGGTACAACATAAGGTGAAACGGAGTATAGTATTGAGGTCTACCCCCCCTTCTTCCTACCAGAGCCAATCATAGCTCGGCGTTCTGACGTCACTGCAAGCCCCCCGCAAGAAGCAGACGAACTTGCGCCCCGCATAGACATATTGCTAAATTACCCAGACATCAACGCGAATGCTGGGTATGGTTTACGCGCCTCACGCCTTTCGCCTTCCCGGTATAAAATATTGTCACGGGTGGTGAGTCGTGACCAATAAACAAGAAATAAACAGAAATAAATAAACGTTTAATGTGGCGAACTTGTGCCAAAAATAAAGAAGGAAACAGAAGAAAGCAGAGCGTCGCGGGCGTCGAAGTCGGCGTGTCAGCAGAATCGAGCGCTGGGGCGAGACTGACTCGACAAGGTCGCGGGCGGCCTCTTATCTAGAGTGAGTCAGTATCTCGAAGATTCGGCGGAGAAGGTTCGAGCGTAGCGCGCTTGGGGCGAGAATGAACAAGCACTTTCTAGAACAACAAAAACAGGGATGAACGATAGTCATGTCCGCAGCAAGAGTGAACAAGAACTTTCTACAAGTCCGTGACCCTGCGCGCGGCAATATTCGAATTAAATAACCGAAACAAGACGTTGACGAACGCGCGTGCATGATGCCTTTTGTTTTATTTACGCTTTTGCTTTCCAACAGCTACTGCTGCAGACGCCAGCACGTGCGGCGCGTAGGACTACATTCCTAGCATTCTCGCGAATAACGTTGGTTCGATCGCGTCATCAGGATGGGCGCTTGTTTACGCGTCGCAACAGCTTCCGTGGGACTCGTATTTACGATTACAAATAACTGTCGATATCAATACCTAGGACGTTTGCATCATCTGATGGACGTCCGCCGCCTCGGGCCACGACAACCACCAGAGCATGACGCGCCTTTGTTGTCCCGTTGTTCGGTAGTTGGTTTTCCCAGTATCACACGATTTTGGCTGACGGAACGGCGAGCATTCAACTCTGATAACAAAAACTGAATTATTTAAAAAAAAAAAGCCCTTTTGAGCAGTGGACAAGTGCTGGGGCTATTAATTAGTAACACCAACCTTTTTTCCAGCTAATTAGGTTACAGGATGAAGAAAAGCAGGGATGAAAGCAGTAGTGTTATGGCTGCGCTATTTGCGCCAGCGTTATGCCGACATTTCACATAACTTTCTCAATACCGAAAATAATTGCTCACGTTGCGCTACCCTGTCGGATCCTTAAAGCAGGCTTGAGCACATTTTCTAAGCTTTCGCTTATCGCTTCGGATAACGAACTGAACCGGGAGGTTCTGCGCTATTTCCCATTGCTGGTCTGTTAGGGCGGATTAGTGAGCTCCGTTGAGTGCGCTTCTCAAAGCGGACTCTTCTACTGCGGAACAGCGACATCCTCGGGTTGGACATCGCGGTTTTGCAGATCTCGCTTGGCCACAGCGAAACCGTGTGCTGTGGGGAAAAGCATTCCTTCAGAGCAGGATGGGATTGAATTCCAGTAATGCTGATGTTGTACTGTAACTTAATTGTCGTAAATATTTTTAAAATAAGACTGCGGAAAGTATATTTGATGTACTTTGATGTCCCTACCAGTTGTGTGTTGACAGTGATGTGATTGCTGCGTAATTTGTGCCAAACTGCGCCAACGTGATTACATTGCTACAGTTTACAAAATGTGAGGAAGTTTCGCCAACAGTGCGCCAGAACTTCCTTTCACTTTAATTATATCAAATACATATAATAGCTCGGTCCTCTTTACCTGGAAGCATCGTTACGATATACTTATGCGAGTTTTCATAACTCTCGATTATCGCCTCAAATAACGTACTATTCGACTGCATTTCATGTCAAAGACTGGCAGTACTCGGAAGTTTCGCAATAATTCTCATGTTCGTGTTTTGTTCTGGAGGGTTACTTTCGTTGAGTGCGCTTCTCACCGCGCACGGGTGTACTGCGGAGAAGCGACAGCCTCGGAGTAGGCATCGCGATTTTGCGTGTCTTGCTTCGCCCCAGCGCACCCGCGGTGCTCACGGGAAAGCACTTCTCAAGAGCGAGACGCGAAACAATTTCTGAATACAACTTCGGCTTGTATGATAGACTGCGATATCCTGACGGGACCTCTTTCCGATTCGAAATTTAGCAAGCATGCTTGGGTATTGCGAGAATATTTATGCACATTCTTTTGTAGGTTTATTTTTATTCCAACTCCTTTGTTATCACTTTTATATAGGTGTTATAAAGTTGAACTAAGTTGGACCGGAGCAGTGGATGGAAGCTCGGTAAGAACATTAACGAGTTTGGCGGGATTGTTTATCAGAAGGCATATTGAAAGTTCACATGCCCATTTTTGTTATGAAGACCTACATATAAAATGGAATTGGCGTTCATAATCAAATGACAAGTGCTTTTTTTTTTTTTTATGTAAAGTATAAATTGCTGTTCATTACAACCTCTAGAACTTAAAAGGGCGATGCAACGATTCTAAGAATAAAAAGAATTTCCATATCGCCATTTTTACGTTGTTTATCGTGTCCCAGAGAATACAGAAAACATACCCTTCATTAAAAATGTACCGATTCCGCTGCATAATCGCAAAGCAAAAGTCTAGTTTCTTCCCCCATCTGCAGCCGCGAGTGGCAGCCGAAGAAACTACTGCGAAAGGCTTACGTGACCTGGCTCGGCTCTAAGCTGCAGCATAACGCCCGCTAATGTACGCAGAGAGAGGGAGAGGAAGCGTCCCCCAAGAGAGCATACGGGAACCTACACGGCACCCCGAGTTACGTCACTAGGAGGGGGACCAAGAGTGACCCTTAAGACTGGGAGGGAGTTAAGGGGTGCCAGAAATGCCAATATTATCTTCTTTCTTTTACACACCTAGGACACGCAGGCGAACTCGGTTTTCTGTTCTTTACTTTAGAAGTGTCAGAGGGCAACTTCCACAAATTTTTGACCAAAGTCCGGAAATTGTTGCAGTCCCCCCTTTAAGCTCAATGTTCGCTACGCCAACGCCGTAGCCTTGACTGCGCTGTTGGTTGCGCCTCAATTCACCCGCTAGAGTCAGCCAATTTGCAAAGTTTGCCGGATCGTTTAAGAAACATTTAGACAGAACTAGGTCGTAATATTTGACGTGTGGTCTTCCTAGGTGATACTGAAGAGGACTGCATTGCTTGTTTGTTTGTCTTCAAAAATATGCCCTTTAAAAGGCAACTTCACTTCATTTTTCGTTTTTGGAAAACAATGCGGTCCTCTTTAGTGTTACCTAAGAAGACCACACGTCAAATATTACAACCTAGTTATGTCTAAATGTTTCTTAAACGGTCCGACAGACTTTGCAACGCACCTAGATACCGAAATCGGCAGACTCTAGCGGGCGGATTGAGGCGCAGCCAACAGCACAGTCACGGCTACGGCTACGGCGTAGCCAACATTGAGCTAAACGTCATCACAATTGCCCCTTTTTGTTTGCTTTTACTTCTCCGGACAAGCGTAACGGGTGACGTGAGCAACGCTTGTCCATGTGACTGGCGTAACGCGCCTGCGCAGTGCGCTTCTTGGGAGCCTCATGTCCGGCGTCCCGCCGTCCGCCGCATCACAACCGCCGCAGTCGTCTCACGGTTTGTGATAATTGCCTCTCAGAATTTCGTTCACACTATGTGCGCAGACTGATGCCGCAGTTGTGCAGGCGTCGTCGAATGTCGTAGACACCAAGACGTGGCGAAGAGTGCGGTGCAGACGACACTTGCGCAGGGCACACGACCGCCCCAACGGTGGCCCGCGGGCCCGTCGTTGCGTAAAGGATCACGTGACTTCCCGTACCACGTAATAGCCATGTTTTTGGCGGCCTGGGGCCAATGTTGCCAGGCGGAGCCGGAGTTTCGATTTCAATTTCTGCTCACGTTTAAAGTAAGATTTAACAATATGGGTCCCATTTTTCACGAAGCAAATGATGTAGTGCTTTTTGTTAGTGTTTTTCATGTTAAGTCACTCATTATCCTCAGATTTTCTGAACTGAGCGGAGCTGCCCAAGTTAAAAGCCTTTAAGGCTAGATGCAGCCAACCTTACGGGTTGATGGGACCAATCAGACAGCATCAATAGCGCACCGCCATGGTGTTCATGTTTCTGTATGCTGAATCAATCATGAACAGAAAAGGCCTAGTGACTTTCGCCTCTCACGCTGCTTGATTGGTCGCATTAGCTCTTAACGTCAGCTGGGTTTGAACTTAAGCTGAAACAAAGTATAGAAATCTGTGAGATGTCACTGCCCTTAGACATGAGGCAAAAAAAAAAAAAAAAAATTAAACCTACACAATGGTACACTTTCCATTTCTGCCACATTGATACATTGTCCCATCATTCCAGAGTGCAAAAATGTGTTTAGCTTGACCTACACTAGTAGATAAGGTACCAAGTAGTTCAAAGAAATGCCACAGTCTGGAAATGTATCATCCCACATTTAAAGAGCCGTCTGCCACTGTGCTTCAAAGAAAGAGAAGCAATTTGTGGAACCTAATGCCACTTTATTTCCTCTCGTTTGCGTTGCTGGTTAGCCCCAGAGGTACTAAGTATTCCTAGGCATTCTTTTCGAGATTCACTGACACACTACACAGAAGAAACAAACAATATCACAAGAGTTCTAAAAATATTTGGTGCATTCCATTCCCCTCTACGAAACAAAAAGAGAGATGATTTTACACCCCTTGTAACTATGTATGGTATGCTTATTGCACAAACTGCTACATACCAACGCAAGTGCTTCAAAGACTAGTACAGACAAGCAAAGTTCCCGTAATGAACTTCTCCACTATGGAAATTTGTAATGCTAGCCAAAAAACCACTATAGTGGGACGCTCAGAATTGGCCAAAGCAAGTTCCTTCCGGAGAATGCTATTGCATCACCAATGAGAGGTGGCCACTCTAGCTTATTGCAGACAGGGCACGCGACATGAAACTTAAACACACATGATGTAAAAACCGATAGGGACAAAACAAAGCAACAAGTTCCGAGACACGGCGGCCTCCCACAGTGCACTTGTCCGGCCAGCCCATTGCACATCTTCATCAGGTACATATGAACTAGGTCAAGGCCTCCGTTATAAAAAGTAAATGTAAATAAATAAATAGATGTATATAGCGGCAGACTAGATGGGACACTGTACTAAATAGGAGACTCACATTTTCCATTCTGCTTTGTGACATACACATTACCGCCCGTGCTTAGCAAATGCACATATATATCAGCAGTAACGTTAGATATCCGCCGCACAAAAAACAAAACCCAGCGTGGAGAATGTTGTCTAATGCGTGGCAATACAGCGGGTTCATAAGCTATTTGTGTAAGCCACTAGAACCTATCACATAATGCATCCCTGGAGCCACACAGCAGAAATGTGACTCGGAAGGAAGCTGGGAAAACTCCAGAAAAGTGAGTGAAAAAACGAGGGAATCGCAAACTTCCCGAGCTAGTGTTACACGTTGGAGAAAAGCGCAAACACACTGGCTAAATGCCTTCTCAAACACTGGGTGGCACACGGGGGACGAGGCATGCAACATGCATGGTAGTATTTAGACCCTTTCGGTCGGAGACCTGCAAGAGAAAGAGACAACATCCACAAGTAGGACGGGGCTTCCTTTCGCATCTTCTAGAAAGGGCCAGACAGTATAGCTGCTGTGGAATGTGGCACCAACTACCCGCACACTATGTGCACCATCCCGCAGAAACATAATACAGCTCGGAACTCGGCGAGACATTGCGAAATAATACTCCATCCGACCATCCTAAACACAAAGTGGCAATGGGGCTAAACCTCACTCCGTCCGACATTGTGGCTACAGTGGGAATAAATGCAAATAAATAAAAAATAAATTAACTTAAATGAGCTTAAAAGTAGGCTGTAGTTGTCAAAACGACAATTTTGGAGCCACGCCACAAAAGTAGCGCAAAAATATTGTGCCCAAAACGACATTGGACCTAATCGAAGAAGAAGACATAAAACATGTCAGTTGAAACCACTCGTAAGAAATATCGACCTGCCAAAAAATTCCTCTAACAGCATCGGTTCGAGTCGCATGACTTACGGCCACGTCCGCAGTGCTAGAGCTCCTTGACCGTACGGACTGCTAACATGCCCCGGCTCGACAATTGCGGGCGAAACACGGTTAGACAGATGCAAATTGCCGGCGCATGCAAAGCGAGCGTTTGGGGGAGAAGACACCCCCAAGTCGGAGCCTGCCCGGCCACTGGGGCCAAGCTGCCCGGCGTAGTTAGTGGACCCCTGAACGGCAGACTTCGTGCCAGCTTCACTCCTCGGGCTTTTGTTCGATGTAGGAAGGTGGCGGCAGGATTTGCGCATCCTTCACTGCCTCCTCGTAGCTGGGCGGCATGTCCTGTCGGGGAAGAGAGCAGTGTCTCACACACTCGCCACCCAGAAGCCCTCTCTAAAGCAGCACTGGATTAAGGGGGGCTAAGGAGGCTGCAACCCAGGGTCTTACCCCCGAGAGCAGGGTAAGGAGGTCCATTTATTTTGAAAGCGCTTAATATATGAAACCCTCTAAAATAGAACTTGGAATGCCACATATGCAGAGAGGGAACAAGGAGACGGGGCCTCCGCCTACCGTAACTTTGTTTAGCCCAATCAGTTTGTACGGCCTCGTGGTGCTGCAGAAACAGGAGCTCCCCATCTTTCTGGGGGCCTCCTTTCTCACAAGGCGGTCCACATTTGCAAACGAATTGTCGCGGAGCTTTTCATGGTTTTCTGTCAATCCCTGGTAGCTAACGTCACGGCCACTCACCCCCCTTCTCTCGCTACGAGAAAAGGGGATAGAGCAGCTGTGCTACAGTACCTCCAGGAGGAGTCCCTCGTTATCCCCTTGTCCGAGTGCACCCCGCTAATGGTATATTCGCACGACAGATCTCTCTGGTCTGCGAGGAGGAAAGGCCGCAAGGAGGAGGTGGTGGTGCAGAAAATCGAGGAAAGCGTTCGCATGACGAAGTCGTTACATAACGGAGTCGGCGGATTTTTTCTTTTTTTCGTGAACATGTTTGCAACCCTCAAAAGCTGGTCAAACAAAAAGCAAGGGAAAAAAAAGGCATCCTACATTTCAATGCTGATGACCGTAATTTTTGCCCACAAGAAGGGGAACCGGTTGCTACAACGGGACAATGGATATTCTGTGGGCCACTTGCAGATTGTCCGTGGCTCCCCCCACAAGCTCGGAGGATTAGCGAACATCCATGACGCGGTGCACACGACTTCAAAACTTGATCACGTTTAGTCCTATTCTCAAAGGAAAACTCTGTGCGAATACATAAAAAGAGGAGAGCTCATAAGCCGCTCTTCAAGAAACGCAAACTGATGCGGGTGTGTTGGACACTCTTAATTGTCGGGCTTTTAACGTTACTGCCCAGGCTTTTGAGACCAGGCTCAGATCTTTACTTGGATAAAAGAAAATGTGGGCGACGCAGCTCGGACCCCTTTAAAATGTTCTTAGACTCCCTCGTCTTTTGGCAGCGACATCCTCCGATTGAACTTTTTCCTAGTTTCAAGCAGATATGTACCAAACAGCCCCTCCTTCTACTTTCTACCACTGAAGAAAAACATGCCCTGATTCACGAGAAAGCACATGTGGCTCTCATTCACAGCGAATATAGAATTTGTTTTTCAATTAAGAATAGGTGACTTGGAGAAAGGCTTTTAGTCATTCTTCTCCAGAGAGAAGATATTCTCAAGATCCTATTGATGCATGGAACATCATGTTCGTTATAATGGAAGAATAAACACCCACACAGGAATCTCCACTCTCTGGCCCCTGATTGACTCTACAGTGATGTCTCGTTAATACGAGCATTTCCGCTCCTCCAAAGTGTCCATAATGAAAGATATCCATAATAATGAGACAAAAATGCATGTATTTACCCAGTTCATCCTCAAAAAATGTTGTCTATATAGCAGGGTATCCATATTTAACAGGGTCTGTATTTATATTTTAACCCTGGAGTGTCGGGAAACACAAAGACAGGACCACATGAACCTCCAAAATATCTATACAAACCCACGATACGCGAAACGACGCCGACGCCATGTTGAGAATTATGCAGTGAACACACAGAATGCTTCCGGTTGTCTGTGCTACTTTTTTTTTTTTTTTTTCAATCAACGTATATGCAGCTTTTTGGAAGCCACAAAACATGGGTTTTATATTTTTTTTCTATTTTATAATATTGACTGTGTGCCTTTAATGACCCCAGACTTTGATTAAATTTGGTGGTCGCATCGAAACCTTAGAAAACGGCCAGTGACCACGGAAAAGAGAGTAAGCGCGACTAAATTCGGCCAGTCCTCTATCAGCGGTTTTCGGGCGAAAAGGAACCGAATTTCGAGCCGCAAATTCCGTTCTGGGTAGTTGGGCTCTCATGTCACGTACAACTAAAAACCTCGGCGAGCATAAATACCCTGTCAGTGTCCCTTTAAAGAAGCTGTGCAACAGTTTCAGTGCTTAGCTTTAATAATTTGGGAGTTGGTGTCTCGACCTTTCTGAAGAACAAAAACCGCTTTTGCCTGCATGTCCTAGTTTTTATTTTAAAACTAGACAAAGATTGAGGTTTTCGGCACCTCTCAACTCCTTCACCATCTTCCGAGTCACGTGCGCTGTGACATATATGGGGGTGGTGCGGGGTTCCGGTGAAGCTCTCTCTCTAGAGCCATCAGTGAGCAGCGAGAACTCATCCACTCGCGACCGCGTGCTGGCGGGCGCACCGAGCTGAAAGGAGGAAAGCCTCATTCGAGTCCAGCTATCCCCGTCCGGCGCTGTCCCCCTCCCCCTCCGGCTTCTGGCGACTGTTTGCGGTCAGATAGAGCTGTTGGTCTGGTGGACCTAGGATTGATGGCGCCACTAAAACTCCGTATAATACAAGTTTTGTCGATGATACCAGGTTTTCGAGGCATTTATATTTATGTTGGAACGACAAGATTTATAGAAAAGTTACCTTTTATCGAGCGTGTATTCGTACAACTTGTTATCTTTCTACAAGACCCCCCATTGACGTCATGCTGCATGGTTCTCATGGCCGCTGCTCGCGGCTGCAGGTCAGGGGATATTCTAATTTCTGCCTCGCGATTACGCGGCGGAATCGCAACATTTCAAAGGAAGGAGGTGTGTTTTCTGTCCTTTGCGACAAGATGAACGATGTCCAAAGTAGAAGATGCCAAATCTTTCAACGTTAAAATTGTTGCACAGCTCTTTAAAAGTGTTAAGTGGCTTGCCTCCATCCTTGAATGCAGCGACGCATACCCTACATTTTATGTTTGACTGGCTCAGCTTTTCTTTGAGCTGTGCAGTCATTCATGTGTAAAGAGCATAAATGTGAGCCAGCAACGAGACTTCCAGTTTAAGCCGACTTGTTGAGGTGCCTGAAAACAACAATCCAAGTGTCCTTGCACTCATTCCCTCGGAGTTCAGATACTTCCTCCCACCCACGACGTGTACCCCGAGAAGACACGTCAACTGCTTTCATATTTGGACGGAAACTGGGGACACACTCCAGCAGCAGGAGATAGGCACTGTGATTGTCCAAAATGACCCAGCTAAGTGGCCAGCTGTTATCACTGTCAGCTTTCAGGATGATTGCATTGTAAAAAGGACAATGTATTTTCTAAGCCGAGTGGAAAAGTTCTCGCTTCCGAAAGAAAGTACAAAAGTGAGAAATCGCTTTAGACGCGAAAGGCTGTAAATGGGGAAGCGTATGAGCAGCCCTTTTTATTCTATTCACAGTGCAAGGCCCTGTTTACTCTTTCATGTGAAAACTATTTTTTGATTCCAAGCCACCCAAGTTCCTCCACCACACACAACCTTTCCAATCACACCAATACTCCATAGCGATATTCCTAGACCGCTCTAATTTTCGATGGAGTTTTCCCACTTTTCTTAGAACAACTACGCCGGGTGTTTCTGCAAGGACTTTCAAATATCCTTAAAAATAAGGTGTTTGAGAAAAAAAAAAAAAAACACCTTTCCGGAAACAAACTGCCAGCCATGGCAGACATTAGGAATTGCAAGAAACATACTAATTATAATTAGCAACATAATTATCCTAAATTGACCGATTAACTTTTAAGTTTCTCACGCTTTGAAGCACGTGGGAAGCACACGTGTGCGCTAAAGTTGACACTCCTGCAGCAGACGCAAGGCCGGCGATGAAAAAACACAAATAATAAGAATATCATCTGCATTTTTGCATCGCCAGCCTTGCCCTTGCTGCACGAGCGGTAACTTGTTTCAGGGCACGTTTGGGGGAGAGCTTGCTTTCTGCACAGCACCAAAGCTGAGGAATTAATACAACTGATCCGTCTCCCAACCTAACCGGCTACCTTTGGAGGGACTTTCCAAGGATTATCTCACCGGAGAACAGATGATGTTGCTTTCAATACCGCGTCGCGGGCTGTTCGGCATCGTCCTCCTAGTTCGTTTACCTTTAATGCCAAGCAGAAACGTTTGAAGTGAAGGCACTCGGGCCAAGAGCTCTTGTTCTCACGGTGGAAGATAACACAAAAAAAACAGGGCTGCATTTCTGGGATGCTTCACTGCAGACTACAGTCACCGACCGGTTTTTCGGACTCTCATAATTCAGACTTGTTTGATATTTCGGACCTAAAGGAGGAACCGTGACTTACCCCAAAGAAATATTGCATATTCACAACCAATGTTTCGGACAGCTTGAAGTTGAAAGTTTGATTATTCGAGCTAAATCGTCGTGAGCGATCAGCGGGAAACACCACCAAGAAGCGGCCATTTTTAAATCTACGTTGGCTGTGACTGGATCGGTTTGGCAGCGCTACTTGAGTATTCCTAAGTCCTACCACTAGGGTAACGCTGTATGGCTTTTTTTTTTTTTCTCTAGTTGCGCGTCATTATCATCATCATTGTTGCTTCCATTTTGCTTTGTTCATTCGCCATTGCAGTCATGGACCTGCACCTCTCATCTTGACTCGGTGAATCGTGTTTTCGGACTACGCTGGCTTGGACGTCATTGCCCCATCTGTTCTTCCACCACCGTGATCTGTTGCTAAGCGCAGAAAGTAGTACTCGACCATAATGCTAGGAAAGATTAGTTAGATTAAGATTTTAATGGCGCAGCGGCAACGGTGGCCATAATGCGCCAAACAAAATATGTATTACAGATCAAGAGAAACAGATGGTATGCTAGAGAAACTTTTTACAACTGGTGTAGATATCCAGTTCAGTTAATAAAATCAAAAACTCGTCTAAGTGGTACTAAAGTGTTGTCTCCAAGTAAAAACATAGGATGAAAGGGAAGATGGCCTCTAAAAAATTCAGGACAACATGATATGCGCGGTTGATGATAAAACCTACACTCCCACAGAATGTGT